CAGCTTTTTAAAAAATTTATGTTGTTTCACTTTTCAGTCAAGAAGTTTTATGCATTTCCTACACATTTCCTCAGATGTCTCAGTATTATCATTTGGGTTTCCCTGCCTAATAGCATTCTTAGATAGCTCTTTTCGTGTCCAAAATGACATAAATCACTACTTACATTTTTTTCTAATTTTTATTTGTATATATAACTAAAAGAATCTGATTTTACTTTTTCTTTAAATACTTAACCATTGAACTTAGCATTATTAGCTGACAAGGCATCATTTTCTATAATTTTGGCATTCTATTTTTATCATGCGTATATGATACATATGTGTGTATATACACACACACACACACAGACACACACACACTTAAGCTCATTCTTAGACTTTCTGTTCTTTTGAATTGTTCTATTCCTATGTCATGAATACAATATTTTTTGTTGTTGTTGAGTGGGAGTCTCACTCTGTAGCCCAGGCTGGAGTGCAGTGGCACAATCATGGCCACCGCTGCCTTGACTTGCTGGGTTCAGGTGATCCTTCCACCTCAGCCTTCCAAAGAACTACAGGCGTGTGCCACCACGCCCGGCTAGTTTTTTGATTTACTGTAGAGACGAGGGCTGGCCAAGTTGCCCAGGCTGGTCTCGAATCCCTGGGCTCAGGCAATCTTCTCGCCTCCACCTCCCAAAGTGCTGGAATTACAGGCATGAGCCACTGTGCCCACCTTTGAATACACTATTTTAATTATGCTGCTCTTATAAACCTTTGACATAGGATGGGCCACGTCCACTCTAATGATGCTATGTTAACAAGTCTTTCTGACTCTTTTTTCTTTCATGAGAACTCTAGAATAAATTCATGAAGTCCTCACAGTTTCAGTCGCTCATTTTTTTTTCTGTGGACATTTAATAGGAAGTAAACTAAGTTTCTAGATCGTTTGGAGATTTCCATCCCTCTCATTCTCCTTCTGTTCCCTCTTGCTCTGTCTCTAGCTGGGTCCAAGAATCCCTGGCTTGCCCCAAACCCACCAACCATTTTCCTCCCCTTCCTGCCCTGATCCATCCCTCTGGTCACAGAATGCATTTGCCTGGCCTAAAGCTGTCATCCGACTTTCAGTCCTGCCCTGACCTGGCCACTTATTCCTGAAATGAAGGATTAAGAGAATTTTTAAAAATGTATACAGAAGGGCTGGCAGTAAACTCACTGTGCAATTTCCTCAGATCAAAGGGCCTAAGACATCTTAAAAACACTTTATTCAGTGTTACAAACAGGACTTACAAAAGTACCCTTTTGCTCAGGCAGGGCCCTCATAAGGACCTCTTTGTGGCTCAAAGGTGTTTCAGCCAGGCTGTCTGAGAGAGCCTACAGAATCTTAAGCAAATGGACGTCAAACATGTTGATATTTGAAATGTATCCAGTAAGGACAGGCTATGGGTACTGAAATAACAACACCAAATATCTCTCAAAGTCCAAGCGGATCCAGGCAATCCTCAAGGACAGTTGTTTTCCATGTGTTTGCTCAGTGTTCCAGAATGTTTGATTGTACAACTTTACATTCACCGCGATCACCATGGCAGCAGAAAAAAGGGCATTTCAGAGATGGGCACTCACTCTTAATCTACTTCCACACAGAAATGACCCACATTTCAGGGTCCTACCTGCCTTCAAAGGTCTCTCATAAAAATATTGGTGAAAAACAGTAAAATCTACTATAAGATGCCTTCTGTTGGCCATACAGAAGCCTAATACCCTGGTCTCCGAGAGGCTTGGTGATTGCATAAGGAGACGGCTCTCCTCTATTCTCCTGGCTGAAAGCTCTTTTAATTCATTCATTTATTCTAAATCCACTTGTTGAACATTATAATCCATTGCTAGGAGACAATTCTGTGGCGTATTTATCTGTAATGTTAGTGAAGTGCAAGGCTGTAGGATCTATGAGGGCATGACTGGTCATGTCCATCTTTGTATCCAGTGCCTGGATAAATATTTGGCGTATAGGTTAATGTTGCATTTTTACTAACAGATACCTAGTTTCTTTGCTGTACTACATAAATTGTAGGTAATATGAAAAGGTCAAGCATATCATTCAACTTGAATTAAGGTGAACATCCAGAAGGAAAGTGGCTGAAATGCTCTGAACTTAAGCAACTCAATTGTCAATGTCATATATCAAGGGGATTTCGAACAAAGATAGGATCCTACAAAAGCAAATATCAGAAGGTTCCCACTGGCTGTTTTTTTGTGGGTTGTGGCCTGTTTTTTTGTGGGTTTGGTGATGACAGAAGGTTGAAAACCAGAGGACACTTGAGAATATACCATTCAACTGAACAGGGGCTACCCTACGAAAGCTTCCCCTTCAGACATGGATGGGTCCCAGCCTGTTCCCATAATGTCACCTTGCATTGTAAGGGTCTTAACATCTCAAAGTGTAAGAGTCACACAGTCTTGGCTTTATTTGACACCTATACTACTAAACAAGAAACCCTGGCTATTATGGTGAAGATGGGACAGACATTGTTTGAGATCTGTGTTTACCTTTGCCAATTTATGCAGGTGCAAGAGAGGCCTCTGTGCTCAAATGGAGTTAGGACCTGAATTTCTGAAATACACAAGTATTCCATTCTCTACTTTAAGCTGTGTCTACAGAGCCCAAAGAGTCCTCCTTACTTGTTCTCTGTGCTGGAAACCAAAACAGACCTCCTTGGCCCATGGTGCTGGTGGTTCTGAAGCTTCTTTTACTTGAGGGTTGGATGGGGGCTCTTAATATTCTAGGCCTTCATTACCACAGGAGATTTTTTTCTCTTCACACTGTCCAGTTACTCTTTTCTTCACCTTGTCAAGAAATAGGCTTAGCTTAATTATTGGGGGTGGGTGGTGATGATTACTTTTAGAGGATCTGTCCAGACCACCATGACCTTGCATGGATCCCAATGGTTATATTGTACTGTGTAGTCTCATCCCCCTAGCTTAGTTGATTGGATCAGGGGTGAACATCTGAAATAGATAGACTCATTTCCATAGCAATTTCGAACTGATTATCAAGTGAGAGATTCTGATCTCTGTGCAGCAGTCTGACACATAATTGCTATATTTGGACAGTCAAAAGACCAAGAAGCAGAGGAAGCTGGTATGCAAAGGAGGAAAAGAGGCCAAGATGCACAGAGAGAAGCAGAAGTCAGGGAGGTGGCATGGCATTGCCTGTGCTCACATAATCCTTTTTGAGTTCATTTGGAATGCTTTATTCTCAGACAAAAATGCTTCTCTTTGGTTTAAATTATAGCCAGTTTTTCTCTATTACTTGCAATAAAAAAGCCTTTCTAAGCTCCCTCAATAGTATGCCCAGGTGTGCCCTCTGTACTAGAGAGCTGTTTGCTCATTATTGTGTAACTGATTTGTATTTCAGAAGCTGCAAGGAATTGGAGATTTTTTTGTTTTGTTTTCAGTAACAAGAGAAAGACATTAGCAAAGAGCTAATGCATGCTGTCTGGAAGTGTGGCTTGCATTTTATATGCTTGCATTTTATGTCCTATACATGAGATGTTCCTGTAGCAGTGCTGTGAAGAGGGGCGAGGCTTGGTGAAAGGGCAGTCTGGTTTCCTGTCTTGGGGAGGGAGTGTTTGCCCCTCTTGTAGGGCTGTGGTTCATCAAGGTGCCATTACCATCTTTTAAAAAACACAGGTCACATTTAAAACATTTTTGAAACAGTATTTCAATAAAATCTACTAAATATACAGGGGTTTGTGGCCTATATATTTATAGGTCAAACGTATAAACTTTGGGATCAGAATGATCTTGTTCATGACCAGCTCTTACACTGACATCCCCTGTGTCCCTGTATAAGTCCCATCCCCTTTCTGTGCCTTGGTTTCCATATTTGGAAAATGAGGAGAAAGATTTAACTAGATTATCTCTGATTATCTAAACACCCTCTGCTCCAAAGTTCCCTAAAACTTCACATGGCTTTAGAATTGTGCAGCTGGCCATGAAAATTCCAAATATATGAATGAGAATTATTTATAATGTCTTCTCTATTTCTGAATATTTGCTTTTATTTATTTATTTATTTTTTTTGCTGTATTCTATTACACCACATTTATATATTTTTTCCACCTCCACCCTTTGCCCATACTTTTATATTTTGATGTTATAGTTCTCTGTATTAGGCTCTGAAACACAAGGAAAAAAATAAGGGGATTATGTTTTCTTGTGGATTTGGAAGATACAAGCTTTTCTTTAAATCATATGAAGTCAGAAAAATAAAATGGTACTCCTCCCATGAACCAAAAGGTAGCTACCTTGACAGGGATGCAGAGAGGCTGTGGACAATAAAGGGATGAGGACTCTATGGGGTACAGGGTCATGCAGTATGAGTGGGAGGCAGACATTAACTGCCAGGTCACCCTGGCATGCTGTGAAGCTTCCTGGGCTCAGACCTTAAAGCAAGAGGCAGCCATGGAGTCTTCTCAGTCTTGGGGCTCCAGCCTCCCTTGGCTAGAAGTTTCTGGGGCTCAGGGAGAGGTCTTGAACAGGGACATGCATATGGGAGCCATTCACCTGTAGAAGAAACCGGAAGCCAGGGGACAGTATATGTTCATCTCTGGAGTGAGAGTAAGGAGGGAGGAGAACTGAGAATTGAGGCTCTGGCACTCCACCATTAAGCAGTCAAGAAGGGGAAAAGGGACAAGCAAAAGAGACTGATAAGAAGCAGCCAGAAGTACAAGAGCCAAAGCAGGAAGGAGTGGTGTCCTTGAAGCCGAGAGGAGGAAGTGTTTGAAAGAGGAGGGAGTGATTAGCAGGGTCAAAGGCGCCTGACAGTTTGAGAAGGAGGACTGAAAAGGAATCATTGGATTTGTGGACAGGAAGGTCATTGGAGACCTACTTTTATCCCTTGCACGGAAAGTAGGCTGGCCCCTTCTTCTCCTCCAGGTCTTCAAGTGTGGAGGCAGTCTTGTCGCTGAGAAGTGTCCTGTGGTAGCCTCACCTTGGGGCCACATTCTGTAGAGACGCCCTTGCCAGGAGAGGTGGTTGCCTTTTTATTAAGATGTTGGTAACACTCATATCTGAGCCCTGACTTGCTGACCAGGTTCCTGGGACAAGCACTGCCCCACTCAATCCAGGTGGCTCAGAACTCGCAGATCACAAGGCGCTGCTCTCCACAAGCCTTGTCGTTCCACTTGCCATTGGTGAAGATCTCCACACAGTTCTCTGCCCCGCCATCATTGTTTGGCTCCCCCGGAGCCCAGTTGGAATAGACCAGTGGTTCCCCTGTGGGGTAGGTAAATTTGCCCTCTGTCTTGGTATCAGTCATGCTCAGGAAAGCAGCCTTGTTCTGGTCTGTGGCCAGCTGTTGCAAGGCAGCATTCTCAGCTGCAGATCGTGGGGAGGCCAGCTGCCCACCAGCCTGCGTGCACACCTGCTGCGCATCTTCAAAAGGTTTCTCGAAGCCCGCTGTCTTGAAGATCTTCTCCCCGACACCTTGGCCATTGGGAAAGAGCTCGACTAGGAGAAAAGGAGAGTTAAGTTGGGGCTGTGACTGCACCTGGCCAGAGCTCAACCCAAGCCTCCCAGACCTCCTGTACAGGAGCACCAGAGAGGATGCGAGTGAGACCCTCAGTTCCAGAGCAGCCCCAGCTGCACGATGCTTGCTGTGAGGTGGTACACTGGTTCCTCATTTACAGATGAGAGCAGTAGAGTTTAGAGAGGTTAAGTAAGAGGCCCAAAGACACATAACCATCAAATGTGCAATTAGAGATTAAACCTCATTCAGCAGAGCTTTTCACCATTTTATTAGGATGTTGGAAACCCCTGTGGCTCCAGAGAGGGTTGTGTCCTTGGCCTTGTTGGGGAGGTCAGAGTCCAGGCTGCACCCCGACCCACTGTCCTTCTCCTCTGAGCATCTTCAACAGGGCTCAGAGGGAAGATTCTCTATGGGCTCAGGGTGACCCCCAGAATAGCCCTGAGCAAGGTCAGTGTAACAGTTCATGTGCCGTTGCTGAGTTTATGTCCCATGCACATATGTGTGTATGCATGTACATACACAAATATGCTTATGCATCCATCCAAAGGCACATGGGAATACTTAAGGTCCATCGGGACATGTGTGCATACAGGAGCTCATGTATGTGGATGGGTGTGAAGTGCATACAAATGTGATGGGTACACACAAATGTGGTGGGTACACACAAATGTGGTGGGTACACACAGATGTGGTGGGTGCATATGCACATGTTGTGTCTGTGTGCTTATGAGTTAGTAAACACGCAAATATGTTTGTGGAGAGAGACAGACATACCAAATGCTTGTAACTCTCATCTCTGAACTTGGGTACTGAGGTGCTAACCCTGTATCTTACCTAATCAGGCCACTGATGCTCTACTCATTCAGAAAACTTCTTTTTGGTGGTGGAGGGACACTCAGTGAGATTTGTCTGAAGGGTATGGACTCAAAGCTGATGTCAGGAAGGGCTGAGGAGGAATAGAGGAAGTTGGGCATGGAGGTAGAGGTTCCATGAGGACAAGGCACTCAGGCATGTGCCCCTGAAGGCCTCTGACACCTCAGGATTCCAGGGTTAGGAAATAATCTCTTCTCTAAACACCTCAAGAGCTGCAGACAGAGCCCAGCCCTGGATGGAGCCCAGAGGCAGTGTACCACCTGCCTGACTCAGAAACATGTACATGGTGAGATATTCAATGACCATACCTACACACAAGGTCAGGTCCCTACCTGCTTTGTGCCCTCAGAGCTGTATCCCAGCCCTGGCTCCAGAACAGTATCTAGATTCTGTACTGCCTTGGGCTATGCAGCCACTTCACTGGGCACTCCCATACCTGGTCCCCCAGAGGCGAGAAATGTAGCCTGTTTTAGGTACTCCCTTGCCTATCATAGGGACCAGCATGCCACTGGACTCAGGGCATCTGCCTGTCTTGGGGCACAAGTGGCCAAGCTCCTGCCAGCCCAGTGAGTTGAGCCACACCCTCCTCTTTGTCCCCTGGATCTACTTCCAGCTCTGGGAGCACGTGGCTGCCCTGCTCTAGAGCTGTCCCAGCCTGAGCCCCACTCCCTGCCACAGGTCAAGGTCCAGACCTACACATGGCCCAGTTCATTCCAGTTTAGGCCCAGGACCATGCTCTGCCTCAGGCCTGGCCAAAGGTCTAACTCCAGCCCAACCCCAAACCAAGGCCCAGACCCAGTCTGGGGCCCAATGTTAGTGCCAGGCCCAGGTTCAGATCTAGGAACTCACCTTTCTTATACTGTGAGAAGGTGACTTGGAGGTTCCGCACCTGTCCCTGTAAGGCCTCCACCTGCTGCCTCAGAGCAGCGAGGTCTGCAAGGGAGAGAGATGGCCAAGTGAAGACTTGTCTGGAATAGCCTAGGAAGAGCTCAGAGTCTGGGCCTCAGGGAAGGGTGTCTAGCTGTAGGCACATATTAGGGGTGGAGGGGAGGAGTAGAGCTGACTCCCAGCAAGCCTACATTTGTTGACAGAGCCAGCCAGCCCCTGCTGTGCAGGGATGCCTTAAGCTTCTGCTATGGACAAACTCGTCCCTGGACCTAACTGTCACTGAACTATTTTGACTCCAGACTCTGGGAATATAGTGGCATCTCCATTTTGGAGGGTGAGAGGGACAAAAGTACACATTCCTCACGTGTTTCTCATCCACTGGGTACTTTGATACTCAAGACTGCCGTGGATTGGGAAGGCGGCTGTAGTTTTCCCAATGGTCAGATGGAGAAACTGCCCAGGTTGGCCTTTCCATGAGTACTAGGTGGCTCAGACCAGAGCCTAAGGCTACTGCCTTCCAGCCTGTCAACCCTTCCTGAGTTCCACCCACCACCTGTCATTAATGCGGCAGACATTCCAGAGGAAGGGCTGTGCTAAACTGAAGAGGGCCTTCTCTCTCCTCACCCATGCCCTGCTGGGGGTTCCTTACCTGGAAGCCCACTTTCTCCCTTGGGTCCTCTGTCTCCAGGAACACCTCTGTCCCCCTTCAGACCTGGAGATCCCCTGGCACCTGGAGCTCCCTGGGGACCCACAGCTCCAGCGGGCCCTGGGGTCGAAGGAGAGCTAAGTGGGCTATGTACCCATTTTCCAGCATTTTCCTGTTCTCTGTACATGAACATGTACATTTTCCCTGTACATGGTGTTTCCAGCAATACACCCTTCCCTCACACAGACAGTTCCCAGAACACAGCCATGCATCTTTCTGTCCACATCAATCAGCAATCAGCTCTTCCCTGACATATAACTGTGCCATCACCTCACAACTAAACAGTTTTGTATACAGACTATCCCCACTACTTAGTGGTATACTTTCCCTGGATTCAAACAGTTCCCAGAGCCCCCAAATGCATCCTCCTTGGATACAGACCTCCCCATTGTCCAACAATGCCAGTTCTGAATTTATGGGTAGTGGAGGGAGTCGGTGTTGATGACTCCAAGTGGGCAAGAGAAATGGACCCGGCCCAGCCCCAGCTCTTTCCATCACTTACCTGCTGCCCCTGCCTTTCCAGGGGCTCCAGGTTCACCAGGGGCACCCTGCTCTCCTTTAGGGCCTGTGGGGCCTCTTGTCCCTGCAGAGCCCTGCATGCCTGGGGTACCTGTTTCTCCTGTGGAAGGAACACACAGCACAAATGCTGCCAAGAGTGTATTCAGCAGATATCACTTACTCAGCAGTAGAGCTTTTTACCCGCAGCTCCAGGGTCAGAGAAAGAAGTGGGGATACTGCTCCTTTCTACCTGGGGTTCCTCTGTGGAGAGTAAGTGGAAACAATCCTAACATGGGAACGTGGGAGGAGTACATAGCAAGGCCTTGGCAATGCTAATGGTCTGGGATCCTCCTGGCACATCATGGGCTGCCATTGTCATTCCTCTCTTCCTCCTCCCAGAATGGCCATATACCATCCACCTACCTTTGGGCCCAGCCTCTCCTTTCAGGCCTGGTTTGCCTTGAGGTCCTATGTTCCCCTGTTTCCCTGGGGAACCTTCTCTTCCAGCTGGACCAGGCACACCCGGAGGTCCTGGAGGTCCTGAAAAAAGGACTCGACCAGTCAGTTACACTGAACCCTCTTGGTAGGGAGAGTGCTTAACAAGGTGAGGGTAATAATAGAGATGAAGAGGTGGCATTGTCCTATCACCCAGCAGCAGGCCCCATCTGTCCTGAAATAACCCAGTGTCACTTTTAAAACAACCTTCTTCCTTCTTCCTGGGATGGGCTCTGTGCATGTCTACTGGTACATCCTATCAGCATCATCACCATCACCTGGAAACACCTGATGTCCATGCCCAGTTCCTCACCGTATGGTCCAGAGTCTCCTTTTGGTCCGGGTTCTCCAGAAGAGCCATTGTCCCCTTTGGGCCCAACTGTGCCAGCTGGTCCAGGCATCCCTGCTCGCCCTGGAGCTCCTGGCAAACCTGTAGCAGCAGAAGAAATAGACAAAAATCAGAGCAGAATATCACATGTTCTCACTCATAAGCAGACCCTGAACATTTACCATGATACTATAAGAAAGGGACTGGCAATAGCGGGATATTGCTGAGGTGGTGGTGGGGACACAACATCAATAAGGGTGCCTGGTATCTCAAACCAGGCAAAGTGGGGACCAAATGGATGTGTAAGCTTTACCTGTACAATGTCCACTTGTATACCTAATCCTGAATTGTACCCCACATCTTTAAAATAAAATTAAAAAATAAAAATAAATGGACAAAAATCTGGCCCTAGGTTCAGAAGATACAAGCTGCCTGGAGGGTCAGGTCCCAGAATTCCTTCAGAGCTCTGCAAAGCATGGATGAACATTCCACTGCACACATCCTGGTCCAGTGGTAGTTCAGGAAATGGGTGTGTTCATTTTACAGGTAAGGAAATAGCCTTTCCAGAGTTGGAGGTGGATGTAAGTCAAGACATGTCTGGCTTTCTACGCAGTGCTCCTTCCCCTGACCCCATGGCCACAGTATTGACAGATGGCAACTGGTCAGCATTTACCTATGATCATGGACTTCTTGCTTTCCCCTTATATATATATATATCAGAGGAACCAACATTTATATCAGAAAATGGCAACAGACTGGTGGTGTTAACTTGCTCATTCAGTTATTAGTCCATCTGCTCCTTTATCTGTTCACTAAGAGCCATCTCTGCAGCACCTACTTTATGCTTAGCACTGAGTCAGATGCAGATGTTGGTGTCAAGCTCTGCTCTGCAAGGGATTCATAATATCCATGAGCCAAGGATGATGGGGTGGAAGATAGTGCATGAGACATCCCTCATCTCATCACAATGCTCTTATCCAGCATGTACACTTGGAACTGCCTTCCTCAAGGAGGAAGCGGGACTTCAAGGGTGTGGAGAATTTACAGAGACTTGCAGAGGGGAGGTGACATTTCACACTTGGAAACCAAGGCAGACAGGAGAGGTCAGGCCTTCTTGGGCAAGAGTGTGGTTGTGATGGGGTAAGGGGTTGTGAATTTGCTGAGTGGGTAGAAGATTCTCTATCCAGCTGTTGGTTACAATCCTTACTAGGGATGAAATGGAAGCACAGAGGGTTATAGAACGGGCCCCACACCCCACACCCAAAGTACACTGTTCTTGGAGCAGGATGCCTTGACCCCAGGTTGAATCTCACTTGGACTCTACCTGGCTAGGATGGCAGTAGGCAGGTGGGCCAAGGGGGATGTCACTCCCTGGAAGGGAACATTACAGGCTGCCCATTTTTGGTGCATAAACTGTGGAGGCCATGGGAGCACTGAGTTGGAGGAGAGGCAACCCTCTCAACAGCAGTCTCCATACCTTCAAGCACTAATTGTGTGTCCTAGTGTTTCCAAAGACCTAGCTCTGTACACTCGTGACACCTAAAGCGAAGTTTTATAGCCCAGCATCTTGGCCAGTCTTGACTGCACTAAACTTCCTCCTCTCCTTCCATCTTATGAATGGAACATTCATTCACTCCACAGATACTTACTGAGCTTCTACCACATGCCAAGCGCTGCCCTAAATGCTGGGGATATCGACCAGAAATCTCTTCCTCATGAAGTTTTAACTCTGTCACATAGCAACAGGTGATAAAACATTAAAATGCACAACCTATGGGATATTAGATAACACATTAAGTGCCACAGGGAGAACATAAAGTAGAGAAAGTGTTGGTGCTTGTGGGGTCTACTTTAAGTGGGGTGGTCAGGGAATGCCTCACTAAGAAGGTGATCAGTGAGTAAAACCTTGAAGGAGGGGAAGTGAGCTGCAGGGACATCTCTGGAAGGAGCAGATGACAAGAGCTCAAAGAGGAAGAAGGCCCAGTATGGTTAAGGACCAGCAAGAAGCTGGTGTGGCTGGAGCTGAGCAGATGTGAGGCCGGAGAGGCCCAAGAGAGCATACAGGGGTAGAGAGCAGTCATGGCAGGACTTGTGGGCTGCTGTGTGGTTTTATCTGAGGGGAATGAGCAACCCTGGAGGGACTCCCCCACTGAGTTTTTCGGGGAAGGAATGCTGGAGGCACTGAGAAATAAGAAATTATCCCTCTAAAGGCAGGATCTGGGTCTTATCTGCCCCCCTTGATACATGTGGGGTATCACCACGGTGACCCCAGTTCCACCCTCCACACCTGCACAAGAGTATTTCTTCTTAGGCCCGTATTTTCCTCTCAGTAGGTTCGGGAAATCACGTTTTAAGATCTGCAGGAATGATTGTCACAAGGGCACACCCGGCCCCACACAGACCCATTGGGTCAGGATTCTGAGGATGCACAAAGTTCCCCAGGACACTCTCAGACCTGTAATGTTTAAGTCACTAGAGAGACTGAAATTGAGGAGCCAGAATGGCGCTTCTTCTCCCAGCCCTACTGTGCTCTGTCCTCTGACCAAGTACCAACCCAAAGACAGGCCTAGGATGTGCAAGGGGTGAGGCACATGTGCAGGAAAGGCAAGTCTGTACAATCTACATGGCAAACTAGAGGGCCACTGTGGAAAAGACCCCAGGATTCCATCCAGGGCCCCTCTCGGAGCTACAGTGAGTTGGGAATCTCTGAGAGAGAGTTGGTACATTGAACCCCACCCTTCTGAGGTCACCCCAGGTGGCCCTCCCCAAGCCTCAGTTCATTCACGTTGGGAACAACTTTCTGTCTGTAGGGGGCAGACAGATACACACTTGTCTCTTGTCCCACAAAGCCTGGGGAAGTTGCTTATTCTTTCCAGTAAAATGTCAGTTTCCTTTCTCCTCAAAATAAGTGCAAAATCTAGGAAGTTAAAGACTGCATTTAATCCCTTTGAAGCCCTGGCCCAGTGCCATAGGGGTCCCTTGGTACATGTTGTTGGTTCACTGAATTCTTTCTTACCAAGAAGACCAGATCCTTCCCCAGTGGAAGGTGACAGGGGACAGCATTTTCTGGGACAATTCCCTTATTCATCAGTACCTCTGGTACCCTCGAGAACATTTATCTATTTGGTACAGCAGGAAGATGCAACTTTACTCTAAGGATTCGATGAAAAATAAAGCCTTGACTCAATTAGTTGTCACTGGGTGGTAGATATCATTCCACATGCAGATGAGCTAAGACACAGACACTGAATGGCTTGCCTGGGGCCCAGGTATGGAGCTGGAGCTGGCAGTGAAGCCCAGATCTGTCTGATACTGAAGCCCCTGTCTTTTTCACCTTCCAGAATGGCTATTATTAAGCCTCCCTGCATCATAGTTTTCTTACCTCTCAAACAAGATTACTATGTCTTTTGTAAGACTCTTGGGAAGATTAAATGAATTAATCAGGTGAATGCCCAAGCACAGGGCTGGACAAAGAAATGTGAGCTCCTTTTCTCCCCCTGGAAAGTATCGGGGCAAGTCCTAATTTAGGCCTGAATATGGGTCCATGGGACCTCATCTTCTCTACCCTTCATGTAGTAGAGTTTAATTAAATATTGAAAATGTTTAACACCCTGTGTGGGCACCATTAATCAGAATGAGCAACTGCTAACTGCTGGCACAGGGTTCTAGAAGGCATCAGATTTCAGTAATTTACCTACTATTTGCTTGGTCCTCAGATGGGAGTGATCCAGGGATGCTAGGGGAAGAGTCAGGGCAGTTGGGTAATGGGGGAGGTACATGGGGCTCAGCACAGTCATTCATTTGCCAGCTGGAGGAGAAGCATGGATGAATGTTGGGGGGAAACTCAACCCCTTGGGAGGAAGCAACACATCTCCAAGCCTTCCATAATAGAGTACCCAAGGTTGCTGGGCTGATCACCATTCCAATGGCCGCCCCTCCCTAGCAGGATAAGCCTGTGGTTCAGCCCTACCTGGTTCTCCTTTCTCGCCCCGGGGGCCCTCTCTACCATCCCGTCCATCACGCCCAGGCAGGCCATTTTCCACGGAGCTGCACATGACCAAGGCGCAGGCGTTGGTCACTACTCTTGGGGAATAGGTCTTCATTTCTGCTTCCAGGTACCTCAGGGGCTGTGTGAGCAGAACCAGTGTAGAGAGGAGGAGCAGCATGGCCTGGAGAGGTGATCAGAAAGAGAAAGGACATGCTCTTGGTTCCAGGACATAGGTTAGGGCTTGGCCCAGCTCCTGAGCAGGAGAAGGCCCTATTCCCATCTTCTCTCCCCTGCTGTGAGACTCAGGGCAGCAGGACTCCAAGAGCAGTTTAGGGACAAAGTGGGCACATGGTCTAGCCTTGGAGGGCATGTGTTACTTGGTTGGAACTCTGACATAGGTTGACAGAATGCCCCCCTGTTTTCAGGTGCCCATGTCATCCCTTCTTATGACTTCCTTTGGGCACTACCTTTGGAAGAGTGGTTAGGAGGTAGCATACTCATTGAGGTCATCTATCACATCAGGAAGGGTACAATGGGTGCCTCTGGGTAGGACCTCTCCCCTCCCTGGACCTTCTTCCTGTCAGTACTGTTGAGAGAGTTGACTTAGCTCAGACAAGGCAAACCTGTTGCTTCTCATTTGCGTCCTTGCATGGACTAGCACTGGCACTCACAGTGCTGGTCTGAAATTAAGCTGGAGTCTCAAGTGCTTAGTGATGTCTGCCCTGAGCACAGGCTTGGAGTGTGGCCGTGTGCTTGCTAGACAATTGGCCATTCCTAGACCAGATGCTGTCTCCATGAGAAAAGTCCCAGGGGGAACCCAGGTGAAAGTTTTCAGAGACACTAAACTAGCAGCTGGAGAGACGCTGAGACACCTAAATTTCTTCCCAGACCACCTGAGAGGGCTAGGAAAAGGTGTCTTATGGTAGGAGACATGCCAGGTAGGCTCAGTCAAGTAAAGGCTAGTTTTCTGGGGGGGAGATGGGAGCAAGAGCAACTATCCAGTAGGGCATCCGGCTATCACCTGAGAGGGTTGTAGGAATGGAGGTCAAGGTCTCTGATCTGGTTCAATTCCTACACTTGGCATCTTTCCTCTCAAAGAGAAACCATAAAGCTATGAGACTGAAAAGAGCTGATCAGAGTCCCAGAGGCTGGGAACAAAGCCACAGGGACCCGTGCAAAGAGGAAGGGGGTTCCCAGGCCAACAGGTTGCCTGACCAGAGAAGTGTCTTTGTCTTCTGACTGCTGGTGATTCTGGGCTGTGGACTCCCCTTTTTACACTAGTCTCTTTCACTCTTGAATTCACCACTTCTCGGGTATCCTGGAAATCTGTAGAGGCACTGTGGTGAGCTCACAGCCAGCAGCAGCTACCTCATTGCACCTGTTCTGGCAGAGACCCAGACATGAGCACGGAGGGTCAGACACAGGCCAGAGCAAGGGCACTGTCCCCTGGCCTGCAGCTGCCTCACCCCTGGGGCCCTAGGCCTGATTCTGGGGAAGAAGGAAAGGAAATCAGCATTCTGCCTACCACCTCGAGATGGCACAGAAGGCACCACCAACCACTGTACATGGGGACCCTTGGAAAAAGTAGACTCATAGGTTTTCAGACCCAGGATTCAGATATAGCATCTTAGCTGGGGCAGTAGACAGTGAGTGAGCCATGGCCCCCTCAACCTACACTTTGTCCCGTCTGTGCTAAGTTTTTCAAAGTACAATGAAGGTTGGTTGGAAAATCAGAGACCAAATCCAGTAAGTCTATTTTTTAAGTTACAGACTTGAAGCTATGAGAGAAGCAGGTCTGCAGGCAGCTGGCATGAAGGCAGGTCTAGAACTCAGGCCTGCAAATAGCCGGGCCATTTCTCCTCTACTGTCCTCCTTTCTAAAGAAACCAGAAACAGAGAAGGAGCCAGGCGAGAAGTTGGGATTGCACTTTCCACCTGAGGCTTCTGCCTGATGGCATCTGGGGACTGGGTAAATGCCACACCCCACTCTTCCACCCTCCCCCAGCTCAGAAAGCAAGTCTCCCACTGAGCCAAAGTTGCTGGATGCAGGGCAGAAGAGCACCATATAACCCCACTGTAGTCCCAACTCCTGCACCCACACCTCCTAGACGAGAACAACTCCACAGACCTCCCTTCATCCATACCAGAAGGATAAACTGCCTGGATGGATGGGGGATATTCACAGGACATGGGGAAAATAAAATGAGAGGCAAGAACAGAGACACTCACAGGTTGCTTCTTCTAGGGCACCAGGAGCTCCAGCAGACTAGCCTTTGCTTGGCAGGCACTCACTACTTATGCCCGCCCTGTAACCTGAGCCGCCCAGCCCTGGTCTTGAACTCCCTTCAAGAAGTGGGGCAATTTTCTTCTTTATTGACTCACTCATTCTTATCCCCACCTGCGTTCTGGAAACCTGCCACTGATATACATAATACTTCACGCATCTGTCACCCTAGAGTTTACAGAGCACCGTGAGTCCTTGATCTCATCTGCACCTCACTGTAGCCCAGGGAGTTAAGTGGCATCATCAGTGTCTGCATTTTATCAATGCCCTTGAATAGGGGGTCCAGAGACCAGTGAGTTGCACAGTGACCTACTGCAATTGCAAAAACAACTCTCATCTGCAGATCTCAAGAGCCAGGACCCACTGCGTCCACTTCTCCTCCTTCATCTCAACAGAATGACCCAGAAATTAGGAAAGAGTAGGAAACTGTTTGGCATATTCAGGCAGGGGCAGGTGGAGGGGTTGCAGAGGCAGCAGCCTGTGGGGGAGCTACCACCTGGAAGAGGTCACTCTTCTGCATCCTTCCCTAGGCCTCAGAGGGCCCACGACTTGCCTTTTGTGGAATGGACTTCCCTTAGCCGGCCTCTGCCTTGCCTTGTTCAGATGTGTTCTCAGCTGGCATTTGCTGTGTGCATTGCTCTAGTGACTAGTTAGGACCCCTGAGCTGTTGCTACCCTGTGGCAGACATCCTTTAAAGCAGCTCTTAACTACAGTTCCTATGGGGCAGTTGTCTGCCCAACTACCACCACTATCATAGCTGCTTCTAGATTCCTGGGACTTTAACTCTTGCATCAACTCCTGCCTAGGGTCCACAGTCAGCAGACCCAGGGCTCCATTCCTCTCATTCGGCCACCCCATTAGCGGTGCTGACTTGCTCCTGTCTTTTGACTCCTGGGGCACCTCCTTGCACACTGGAGAATCTACAGTGTCAAGTCTCACCACTCGGTAGGGAAAGGTCTGTGTGTCCTATTGCAATTTTTTGAAGGAGGAGCCCATAGCAAACCATCTGGGTCCCTAACAATAGGGCTCTCTTACTATGAGCACTGAGCCCTCTTCATTCTAGATGTTCGTGTGCCTCCTAGAGACATGGGTCAGCATGGGGGCTGCATTGAACCATTGCTCTCTTCTCCCCCACAAAGTCTAGCTGTCAAATCTTACCCTAGTGGCTGGTCAAATCTTCCTTATTTATGTTGGCATTTATTTCAAGTCTCTTTTGCAAACTGGCTTCTATTACCTACCTACCACCTCCTAGCCTGTCAAACAGGTCTTCCACAATGCTCTGGGACCCCATTAGAGCACAGAATATGGGGTTTTCTTGGTGTAACTTCATACTCCAGCAGAGTCTGGTTTTATTTATGATCATTCATAATATAGTGATAATCTATGCTTTCCTGAGTTACTGATATTGATGTGAAGAATCCGATTTTTTTTTCCTTTTTTGAGTCAGGGTCTCACTGTCGCCCAGACTGGAGGGCAGTGGCACAATCAGCGTTCACTGCAGCCTTAGACTTTCTGGGCTCAGGTGATCCTTCCACCTCAGCCTCCTGAATAGCTGGAACTATAAGTGCACACCACCAGGCCTGGCTAATTTTTCAATTTTTTGTAGAGGTGCGGTCTCGCTATGTTACCTAGGCTGATGTTGAACCCCTGGGCTCAAGCAATCCTCCCACCTCAGCCTCCCAAAGTGTTGGGATTACAGGCATGAGTCACTGCACCCAGTTAAGAATCAGATTTTGAATGGTGATCACAGTGGCCTTCATAAGGACCTCTGAACCACCCTCTCTTCCCAAGACAAGATCCAGGATAACCACATAGCTTCCAACCACTGGCAGTGTACTGAAGCCTCATCAATGTCTGCAGCCTCTAGTGAACTTTATAGGCTTCACCTTTGTTAGAGCTAAGCTGTGACCTCTGACATTTAGCTGACCAGCTGCTTGCCCACATCAACACTGAAATTCCCAGATCAGGGGTCCACTACATACCTTATCACTACTAGACCATAAGGGGAACTTTGGACACTAGTAGGTACTAAAGACAATAGTTCTGGACTCTCCACTTTGTCCTGATTTGCTTTTGTTTGATCTCGGTTCCTGTCTCCAAACTCTTGGCCCTATGACCCTGCCTTCATTCTTGCCTCTAGGTGTCACAGAAATTAGTATTCTCACTTGCTCTCCCTGATATTTGGACATTGATTCTTTACTTCTGGCTTGACATATTCCTCTGGCCTTTAAGTTTAGTCCATCTCCTTGGAGAAGTTCTGGGCTCCATTTGTGGCCTGAACTGTAGACCTGAAACCCACTCCAGACCCTTGGCTGATTTTGGACTGAGCCAGCATACCCTAGCTGTGTGTTTAGTTATTGGGAAAGGAAGTGATAACAAATGTCTAGTGTGTTGGAAACTTGCCCATCCTGACTCCTGCAGATGCTCTAATCTGTTTATCCTAAAACCGTCAACAATTTCATTAACCATGATCCCACTTTACTTCCCTTGAAGTAAATTCCATTGAAATGAATACTTGAACTATTCACTCCTAATCCCCTTCCATGTTCAAGATGAGTCCCCCTCGTTTCAACCACTCTATGCAGTCTTTCTTTGTGATTTTTGTTCTCATCTTTTCTGTCACCCCAGTGAGACTATAAACTCTTAAACACAAACACACACACACTTTATTGAGCTATAACTGATAGATAAAAAGCTCTCCATATTTAATGTATACAACTTGATGAATTTGGAGATAACTATACACCAGTGAAACCATAACCACAATCTATGCCGTAAACATATCCATCAGCTTCCAAAGTCTCCGCCCACCCCCTTTATTTTCTATTTTGTGGAGGAGGTTAGGAGCACTTAATATAACATCTATCCTCTTAGTATAACTTTAAGTATACAATAGAGTATTGTTAAGTATAGGCCCTAGGTTGTATAGTAGATCTCCAGAACTTATAATCTTGCACAACAAACTTTGTACCCTTTAACCACTTTCTCATTCCCTCACCTCCCAGCCTCTGATTACCCCTGTTCTACTCTCCAGTTCTATGAGTTTGCCTAGTTGAGATTCCTTATAAAAGTGGGATCATGCAGTGTTTGTCCTTCTGTATCTGGCTTATTTCACTTAGTATAACGCCCTCCAGGTCCACCCATGTTGTCAAAAAATGACAGGATTTCCTTTTTCTTAAGGCTGAATAATATTCCATTGTCTGGATATACCACAATTTCTTTATCCTTCCACTGATGAACATTTAGGTTGTTTTCATGTTCTGGCTATCATAAATAGTGCTGCAATAAACACAGGAGTGCAGATATCTTGTTGAGATTCCGACCTTAATTTCTTTGGATATAGACCTAGAAGTAGGAATGCTAGATTAACAAATAGTTGTTTTTCTTTTTTTCTTTTTTTAAAGAAATCTTTATATTATTTTCTATAGTGGTTGCACCATTCTACTTTCCTATTAACAGTGTACAAGGGGTCCCTTTTTTCTACCTCCTCACTGGCACTTGTTATTCTTGCCTCCCTCCCTCCCTTCCTTCTTTCCCTTGATAACAGTCATTCTAACTCATAAGAGGTGGTATCTCATTATGGTTTTATTTTGTATTTCTCTAATGATTAATGACATTAAGCATCCTTTTATAAGCCTGTTGGCCATCTGCATATCTTCCATTGGTTAAATATTTGGTCAGGTCCTTTGCTTTTTTTTTTATCAGGTTATTTGTTGGGACTTTAGTTTTTTGTTTTGCTGCTGGGTTGTGAAATTAGATATTTTGGGTATTAACCTCTTACCAGATATGTGGTTTGCAAATATTTTCTCCTATTCTGTAGTTTCATTTTTATTATTTCCTCTGCTGTGCAGAAGCTTTTAGTTTTAAGTATTCCAATTTGGCTACTTTTGCTTTTGTTGCTTGTTTAGTTTATATTCAAAAAACCATTGTCAAGTCCAATGTCAGAAATTTCCCCTATGCTTTCTTCTAAGAATTTTATAGTTTGGGGTTTTACATAAGTCTTTAATTCAGCTTTAGTCTATTTTTGTATATGATATTAGATAAGGGTCCAATTTTTTTTTTTTTTTTTGCATGTGGATATTCAGTCTTCTCAACACCATTTATTGAAGGAATTATCCTTTGCTCATTGTGTATTCTTGGCACCCTTGTCAAAGATCAGTTGACTACATATGCATAGATTGACGTACGGGTTTGTATTTTGTTCCTTGGTCTATGTGTCTTGTTTTTATACCAGCACCATACTGTTTGATTATTGTGGCTTTGTAATATATTATGAAATCAGGGAGTGTGACACCTTCAGTTTTGTTCTTGCTCAAAGTTACCTTAGCTAACTGAGGTTTTTGTAGTTCCAAATGAATGTTAGGACTGTGTTTTCTATTTCTGTAAAAACAAAAACAAAAAGTCAATTGGATTTAGAAAGAGATTGCACTGGATCTGTAGATTGCTTTGGATAGTATGGAAAATTTAATCATGTTAATTCTTCTAATGCATGATTACAGGATGTCCTTCCACTTATTTGTGTCTTCTTTAATGTTTTTCATGAATGTTTTATAGTTTTCTGTTTACTGACTTTCTCTTCAGTGGTTAAAAGTATTCCCAAGTATTGTGTTCTTTTTTATGCCATTGTAAGTGGAATTGTTTTCTTGACTTCCTTTGCATTTAAGTCATTTTAAGTGTTAAAAAACACAATTGATTTTTATATATGGGTTTTGTGTTCTGCAACTTTACTGAATTTATTAATAAGATTCTTACGATCGCTTTAAGGTTTTATACATATAATGTTATCTGCAAACTGAGGTCATTTTACTTCTTCCTTTCTGGTTCAGTCACCTTTTATTACCCTGGCTAGGACTTCCTATGTTATATTGAATAGGAGAGGCAAATTAGAGCAGATAAATAAGAATGGAAGACTGGAATGAATGGAAGAATGGAAAATTAATTAAACTGGGTAGAGGTTGTACTTTAACTAGTTCATTAAACTAGG